GCCCCCCCCCCTCCCAAAGGGGTACAATCATAGGGTCTCACCCCATCGATCACATCCAACCCCATAAAAATCATTTTACGTTTAAAAAACGGGCACCCGGTTCAATGCATGCTACTTTGGGCACATAGCTTTCCGCATATAAGATCATCATGTGCAGTCCAGCGAAACAGTTCAATATCAATGGGCCATACTACAGCCATTGTCTTGCTCCTTCACCTCCTTCCAGATGTCTCTTGTCATATATTGCTGCATCTCCCGTATAGTTTAAACACATGGCTAAAAGTAAGTAGACTCACCGGGGCAAGTTCATTGCAACAGTAGATCTATTCACTGACCGATAGCGGGCCATACTACGGCCATTGTCTTCCTCCTTTGCCTGCTTCCAGATGCCTGGGATGCGTGGTCGCTGTGGAGCGAGTGCAGTAGCAGGTGCGGCTTTGGTCGGCGACAACGCACACGTGTGTGCAGTTTGTCCCAAGGCACAATTGCCCAGGTCGCCACCTCCACACTTTGTCCGGGCAGTAATGTCCAGCACCGATCCTGCCATCACTTCTGCCACAGTGAGTCCTCTCTCCAAGCAGTTCTATTCCCAGAGAGCCCCTGCCATTTCCGGAGAGCCCCTGCCATTTCCAGAAAAACCCTGCCATTTCCAGAGAGGCCCTGCCATGTCCAGAAAACCCTGCCATTTCCAGAGAGCCCCTGCCATTTCCAGAGAACCCTGCCATTTCCAGAGAACCCCTGCCATTTCCAGAGAACCTCTGTCACTTCCGGAGAGCGCCTGCCATATCTGTAATGCATGTAGCACCATCATTCTATGAGACAATTCCGCAATCACGTAATTTGTACAATAAACATCCCCACACAGCCACCTGGGCATGGTCGTGTGGGTGGGGTGTTGAACAGTGCATTGCTAATCCCAGCATACTCACATGCATTGTTCATGCAGTATATTTAGCAATGCGCAATGGGCTCTGTGTCCCCTATGTGTCTGTTCTGCCACAGGACGCAGAAGAAGACGTAGCACATCGGACGATAGTGTAATGCCTGTGCTGTGTGTACGGGGAGATCTGGTAAGTGACAAGAGGTGGATCGGCTGCTCACCTTGCCAATGGATCGGCTACACATCCATCACACACCAGCTTGCACTTTGTCAAAGTGATGTGAAATATAGAAAGGGGTGCGAAAACGAAATGGAGAGCAAAGCAACTAGAATAGCACTAAAATGAGCAAGGCTGTGAGAAGCACTACAGTGTTTTTCGCACCTCTTTCTGTTCCCCTATAATAGTGTTGTATTTAGTATTCCATCCATGATGTGAAATGCTTCAGTTGCACGCCCTGTATACGTCTGTGCAACACTCGTGTAGCCTATGCACTATAGATTGGTCTAACATCTATCACATGACCGTACAGGGCAGCCATGTTGGTTACAACTCCACTCAACTCCTGCATCTATGGGTCACATGATGTCGGCGGCCATTTTGGTTCCACTGATTGCATGACATGATCACTTTCTCCACTAATTTTGGTAGTCACATGACAAAACTGATATGAGATCACTCTCTACATGATTACCTTTAAAGTACATGGGGCGTTGATCCGGAGCAGAGCGTTGCATTCGATCTCTGTTTGTGTATATTTCACCCATTCACTGCAGAGCGGATTGAGGAGAAGCCGTGACTGCTGCCCATCTCCGGACCGCCCGAACGAGGTCATTATCCCGATCCTGCCCAGCTCGACCGGGGCGCTGGTGTACCGGTCGAACATCACAGCAGACGAGCTGTGCCGTCGCTCGCTTGCCCCCAGCAGTCCAAGTCTGCCGGCGCCGTCCCTAGAGAACAAAACCGTGCCCCGAGAGATTCGACCCGCGCCCCGGGAGGATCGCCCCGCACCCCAGGAGGATCGAGCCGCGCCTCGGGAAGATCGACCTGTGACCCGGGAGGATCGACCTGTACCTAGCAGTAGCAAGAGCAGAGAAACAGTAGCCCTTGATGGAACGCAGGAGGTGGATCAGCAGCCAGCGCCGACACGTCGCGAGAACGCCTTTGGCGAGGACGACAGCAGCAACATGGTCACGAATATCCAGACGTCGATGCAGCGTGGCGCACGTCGGAATGCAAATTCAATGGGTAAGCAATTCATGCTATTCTAAACACTCAGCACCACCGCCACGATACATGTCGGCATGTTTCTCCTGCCACCCTTCATCTTTTGCATGGTCTTGATACCCTCTCCTCCATAGTATAAGCCGCACTTTAAACACACTGATTCACTCAGTAGCGGTTTGTTTTTGTCCCCATAATTATTTATTTTACGAGTTGGGTTTGTGAATAATAGTAAAAAAATATTTAAAAAACGTCTTTGACTGTGCTGTATTGTGCACGCATGCAGGCTCGTCCAGCCAGCAGCGTCGATCATCAGCCGATTGTCGCCTGGATTCCAGCTCCAGCATGCTGACGACATACAGCGGCAGTACGTTCGCCATGCCACGCACCTGCATTCACCTGTTGGCCGGGGACTGCCGGAGCCAGGCCAGTCCACAGTACCAACTGTTCGGCGACATGGTGCCGTGCCACAATAGGAAAGCACATGCCTGCTTCAAGCAGGTGAGGAGAGTGGCTCTTGTTCGGTGACACCTCCTTGTTCTTACGGTCGCTGAAAGATAAAGGTCACTTAGTATGAAACTCCACACCGAGCGCTGTGGAGTCCTAGACCTGCGAATACTGGGATGTTCACTGGTCCAGGATACAAACTTGACTCACTCGATCGTATTTCATTGAGTAGCACTGTGCTTGTATAAGCTTGTACAGTTTTAGGGTACGAGTGATCTTCTCCTGGCCATCAAACAACTCCCGTTTTCTCATCCAGTGCAGTGACTGCCTGTTTCACTGCATACACAATGTCTATGCGGCTGCTGCATGTTAATTGTGTGGGTACACGTGTAAATGCCTTCGGATTCCTCTGTGTGTGTGTGTGTGTGTGTGTGTGTGTGTGTGTGTGTGTGTGTGTGTGTGTGTGTGTGTGTGCATGCGTGTGTTTGTACGCTCATACGTTTGTCATTATTTGATCTCAGATCAACTTACACTTGTACCCACCAGGCGGCATCATTCTGGTTCAGCTGAAAAATGAGCCCAACAATGTCACCATCATCTCACTGCCCGGTATGTCTCAAAATGCGATGATGTCATCAGGGGATAGGTTCTGTATGGACTGACATCACTAGCAATGGTTTCCCATATAGCACAAGCCAATGTGATGATGTCATTCCATAACAACATGTTTCGAGATGTTTTGTATGAAGTGACATCACGAGCACTGGTTTGTCAATTGTTGACGTTTTTTCGCTCATTGGGAAGCCAATATTATTCCATTACATCATGTATGGACTAACAGCTCCAACACTGGTGTGTCGCTCCGTGGATAACCTGTGTGATGATGTCATTCGCATACAGTAGGGCTCACATGACATAGCATGCACTCCTTAGCGTGGACATTGTCAGGCAGCGCCTGTGTTGCTCAATTTCAAAGTCTTCTTGGGTAAGAAGCGCTTCGGACACATAGCTGGTCACACACTATAGTAGATTTGAAAATTTCGAAATTTCCAAATTTTCGTTGATCAAACTTTTCGGTATGAGTGCAAAATCCAGGTTAGGTGAACAGAAATTTTAGCTACAGAGAAGCAGTTTCCTATTCGATTGTGCGTGTTAGTGTTTGTTCGGTTTATTGGAATTTTAAGTATGAAACAGATGCACCGAAAGTACCGAAAATAAAAGCACACTGAAAATTTGTGAAATTGCAGTATACCATGTGGCGGTTGTTCATCCACCGTCCGTAGAGGGCTTAATTTGCCGAAGGCAAAGAGCGGAATACACAGACAGAAGAACGAGCAGTTGCGGTTTCGTAGCTCTGAGTTTCACGAACTAAATCGATCATCAGACGAAAATTGGTATAGCATTTTCTTGAACAATGTTCTCGGCAAGAGTACCAGTGATGTGAGCATGTGTCAATATTGTTTTCTGTGCCTTTAGGTCAAGACAACACTTTGGTTCGCATCCGTCACCAGCGAGGTGAGGGTCGCAAGGCGCCGATCCTTCTGCCGCTCGACTACGGCACCATCGTGCTGAACAAGAAGACGATCCGCATCAACCTAGTGCAGCTGAACATCAACATACGCATCACGTTCCCGAGCACGCTGATCGTGAAGCTGACGAGACAGCGCGCCATACCGCCTGACTCCGTTCTCGCCATGGCGACCAACAAGTGTGGCCTGTGCGGCTGGGGATTCCCTGAGCAGCCCACCCCTCTGGTGTGCTACCCTGCGTGCACCGCCGACGTGCTACAGGCCGGAAACGCCTCGTTGCGAGAGAACGAGTTCTGCGGCGAGCGACTGCGTGCCATATCGCCGACGTGTATGGACGCGGAAGCCACCGCCATCGCCGCGGCCGTTGTTCAGCGTCAGTGTGCCGTGGGGGCGTGCAAGGCGTTCTACGATGGCTTCAACACCCTGGATTACCAGCATCAGCCAGAGTCTGAGGTGTGCAAGGCAATGAGCGGTTACACGAAGGAATGCCTTAGCGCCGGACATCAAGTTAACCTATCCGCAATCCAAGACTGTAAGTAAGAGCTGGGAACAGTCATGGTATGAAAGCCGTCGTCAACATTTCCACTGGCTTGTGTTCCTTTGCTTTCCTCTCACCAAACATCTATTCATATCAAATCATATGCATGCTCACATGATTTTTTAGTTTTCAATTCATCTTGTATGGTAGCCAGTTACTTTTGGACGTTTGTTTAGTAGAGATATGCTGGTAATAACACACGTCATGAAATGGTTTTAACGCTCTCTAAGCTGCAAAGTTCTAGCTTTCCCCCAGCACCATCACCAGTTTGCACATGGTGCCTAGGCAGTGCTTGGCAGGGGCTAGTTAATTAATTTGTCTGTCTGCCTGTCTGCTTGTATGTCTCAGTCTGTTTATCTCTCATTATCTTCCTGAAGAAGACAA